TTCTTTTTTTTTTTGAGACCAGAGTCTGTTGCTCTGTCAAGCAGACTAGAGTGCACCGTGGTGCAATCATAGCTCCGACCTAAACTCAGATCAAGCCTCAAAGTGATCCTCGGCCTGCCTCGCCCTCAGGCATGTGTTACCTAGCTTTCTTTTTTCTTTTCTTTTTTTGTAGCAATGTACCATGTTGCACGGGCTGGTCTTGAACTCCGTGGCCTCAAGCAAACCTCTCCAATTGCAAACCTTGGCTCCAGAGTGGGTGGGCAGTTATCATGATGTGAGCCGCCAGTGCCTGGCCGATTATTTTCTATTTGAAGAAGAAACTGGTAATTTTACCTTATTGAGAGATTGAGGCTTATGTTCCAAATTGATGTGGCTGTGGGTCATGTACTTTGTGGTCTGACAATTCCAGGCCGATTGCAGTGCGGTTTTGTGCGGTTTTCTTCTAGGAGGCTGGGGGTGCATGGGACCATCTGTCTACCCCGACCATCATTAAAACCAGTGATAAACCACATGTCCACGGGAGCATTATATATGGAAAACACAGAGTTCAGGAGCAGGTGTGGGTTCCGCCTTGGACTAGGTATAGCAAGATTACTCCCTGGAAGATAGAGGATGCTCAGTAGCCTGATAACCAGAGGAACCTTGTAGGGGAAGGAGAGGGAAATAAGAGATCTGGCTCTAAGGAAGAAACAGTCACAGCTGGACATGAAGTCACAGAAAATAGAGCAGGGGCTCAGGGGTTTTGAGTAGAGCCGCAAGAGTGAGGTTGGTGACACCTGAGCCAAGGGATCCCAAGGCAGGAGTAGTGGCCTAAGAGAAGAAACAGGTCACAGCTGGACATGAAGTCACAGAAAATAGAGCAGGGCTCAGGGGTTGAGGCATAGAAGCCCAAAGAGTGAGGCTTGGATGTTGACACTGAGCCAAGGGATCCCAAGGGCAGGATAGGTTCTAGAGTGAGGGCCAGACTGAACTAAGAGGGGAGGCCCCATAGCTCCCATTTCAAAGGGCAACACACAAAGGAAACCAAATTCATCATTACACAGTTGAGTCCAAATCAATTGTGTTTTTTATTATACTTTTCTCCTGATCTACCACATGTTCTACAAATGCCCTGTCATTCTCTCAATTGGCCAAGGGCCGTGTGGTTGTTCAAAATATGTACAGAATGTTGATCTCCACGTAGTGAAATGAGCTCTCTGGAATGGGAATAGGAGGCCTGACTTCTGCTCCACATTCTGCCACTAACCAGCTGAGTGACTCTACAGTTTATTCAACTTTTCAGGGAGGGCCTCCTTTAGTTTTTAAATCTACAACATGAGGACTTCACCTAAATGATCTCTGAGGATCTCGTAAGTTTGAAAATTTTGTAATTCTGTGGGTATCTATCGAGATGGCCTTTGAGCTTGTGTGGACAGATGGTCAAACTGAAACTCTACCGTACCTTTTTCTTTCCTTTTTTTTTTTTTTTTTAGACAGGTGAACTCCTGGCCTCAAGCAAACCTCCCAACTTGCAACTTGGCCTCCCAAAGTGGTGGGATTACATGTGTGAGCCACCATGCCTGGCCTATTATTTTCTATCTTAAGAAGAAAACTGTAATTTCTACCTTATTGCAGAGCTGAGGCTTATGCTTCACAATTGATGTGGCTGGATCAATGTACTTTTGTTGGTCTGACACATTCCCAGCCATTGCAGTGCTTTTCCTTCTAGGAGGCTGGGAGCGTGTGCATGGGAGCCATTGTCTACCCCCACCCATCATTAAAACCAGGAGTGATAAACCACATGTCCACGGGGAGCAGAATAATGGGCAGTTGACATGGTTAGGCTGAAGAGTCATATCTT